CCTTCCATGGCATCGATTCGATCCCTGATGTTTGTCCTCCGACAGTGGTGCATCAATCCGGCCCGATCCCTTCCTCCCAGCGGGCCAATACGACCCCCCCCCCTGCGACGTGTCGAGGATTCCTCAACGCACGCTTGACCCTGGTTGGACTCCATCTGTGCCTCCCCTTTACCCCATTATGTCAACTCTTGACCTCGATGTGCTACGAAATTTAAGTTTGTGAATGCGATTTGATACTGCGATACCGTCACGAAAGGAAACGTCTTGTTCTGGAAAGGTATTGTTTAAAAGCTCCCCAGCTTCAGAGAGCAACGTCGATACGAACCACTCCGGCAGTCTGCTCGTAGTATCGGAGAAGCAAGCCGATCGTTGTCGACTTTCCACATCCAGAATGCCCAACCAATGCCACGGTCTCGCCGGGATTGACCTGCAACACAGTTTTACAGGAGATAATCTCAACCATTTTGCGACCTTTCTTTTACCTCGTAGCTGACACCATCAAGAACTTTTACGGTTGGTCTAGACGGGTAGCTAAAATGAATATTACTGAATGTCAACCGTCCTACAAACTCCTTCTGGCGTCAAACCGTCATCGCCCATCGGATCGATATCTGGGACCTGAAGCATTTCAAAAGCTGTTATTTCAAACTGTGAAGGTGCTCAGACTGCCTGAAAGAGCTTACTCTATCGATGATGGCAAAAATGTCGGCGGCAGCCATCTTCGCTCCCATAATAGCACCCATTTGGGGGGCCGCATTCGCTCAGACGACGTGTACCCAAAAGCACTGACCAGAAAACAGCAAAAATTGTTCCCGGAGATACGGTGCCAGCGAGAACTAAGGTGGTGCCATACCTGAAAGTTGACGAGTAGTGATCCTGGCATGCTGAATGTTAGGAAAATTAATTTGTCATTGAGAACAGTACAGACCAGAAAGAAAAAGCCATTGCGGCGAACATGAGGAATAGTGGCAATGCGGAGAACACTGCCAAGATGAATGCCTTCCGTATTCCCATTTTTCTCGCCTCTTTCAACTCCTTTTCATATCTGAAAAATAGCTCTCTTAGATGTGCCGCAACCTGGAAAAGGGTTCTAAATTTCTCCCATCGTTTTTCAACT